CGTTGGACCGGCCGCGGGTCTCCGAGCATGCCTCGCTCAGGCACACGAGGCAGCCCACAGGCGTCTCGCGGACGGGCCACCCCTCTCCACACAGAGGTCGCTGGGACACCTGCGCCGATGCCCCCTTCCCGAGGCCCATCTCTCCCGTCCTTCCTGGCGCCTCCTGAGACGAAAGTTTGCGCAGAGGCCTTCCTGGGCTCGGTCACCATGCCTGGGAAGACCTGAGAGCCTCCGCACTACCTCAAGGCTGCGTCCCTGGAGGCGGCTCCTGCCCTGGGAATGGGGGGCAGAGAGCACATCCCAGCGACCGGGCGGGGTGAGGGGCCAGGTCCAGGGGCAACCCGTGGTCACGTCCTCTCCATGACCTCCTCTGACACCTGCCCTCCCAGTCACGAGTCCCTGTCAGACCCGCTGCCGCCTCCAGCCAGACTGGAAACCCGGGCTCAAGGACCACCGCGTTGACAGTGTTGGAGACCCTCCTCCATGTCCTTCTGGACACACCAGCAACGCCCGGCCCTGCCCGCTTTCTCCTGTGACCATCTTCTGATTGTGACCCAGGGGTCTCCTGTCTTCTGGCGGCCTAGCCTGTTCACTCCCAAGTGGGGTGAAAGCCTGACCCCTTGTAGGCCTTGGCAAATACTCCCTCATAGGACCTGCCCTCTCGTCTCCCTTGTCCTGGACCGCGGCTACCCAGAGACACCCTTGCACCCCGCTATCTAGTCCAGTCCAGCCACTGGTCTCTCCCACTCCCAGTGGCTGCTGTGTGGAAGGGTCCAGTGCAAAGCCCCCGAGGCTCCCCGGCTGTCCAGGGACCCCCATGCCTGCACCTAATCAGCTCCCTTGCTTCTCCCAGCTGTTGTCAACCGACCACCTTTACCCAAACTCCCAGCTCCCCCGCCCCGCTGGAGAAAACAGATGTCCCCAGAAAGTCTCAATGCCCCTCCTGTCCCTGCCAAGACTCACCTCTCTCCACCTGGTCCCTGAGCAGAGAGTGTCCTCCTGCCCTCAGCTCACCCCAGCCCCTGGGCCCCAGCTTCTGGTTCCCTCAGCCTGCACTGCGATCAGGCCCTTGCCTATCTTCACCTGCCCTGCACGATGCTCGCCGGCCATCTCCACGGGCTGGGCTGTCAGGGGCACTAACGCTGATCGGGGGCTGTTCAGACAGGTCCCCTCTGTACGAATTAGCTCATGTAAGCCTCATGACGACGACCTGTGAGCCCGGTTTTATCAGTCCTGCTTTCCAGACGAGAAAGGGAGGCGGGAAGGTTAAGTGATGGGTTCACGGTCAGCCACACGTATGTGCAGATGGGCCAGGACCCAGACCCAGAGCGGGCCGGGCCCTCGGGGGCTGGCTGTCCAGCCCCTGGAAACACCCTGCCCGCCGGCAGCCTCGTCCCCTGGCCTTGGCTCCCCTTCCCAACCCCCACCCTGGTGAGATGCCCCTGGAGGTTGCTGTTGCAGGAAGCCGCTGCTTTGTCACGGCCTCAGTGCGTGAGCTTCTGTCTCCCCCCAACACGGGAGCAGGCTGTGGGGGCCTGAGCCCAGGCTGGGAACTTCAGGAGGTCCTAGCCTGTGGCTCTGCGAGGCCTTCGCGAAGGGACCACCTCTCTGGAACTGTTTTCTCCTCGGTAAAAAGGGGTGACGCTGCCCCCATGCATGCGTGTTGGGAGCAAAGGCAATATTTGCATGTGCACCTGGCACTCGGGACCTGCATAAGTAAGGGGAACGGTTGACACGGATGTGCCTCTGAACGTGGGCCGGGCGGGGGTCTGGACACGCCACAGGCATCAACTCACTTAATCCTCCCAACAGCCATTGCAAGTAGGAACTACCATTATCCACACTCAACAGAAAAGGAAACTGAGGCACAGAGCGCTTCAGTGTGCCAGTCCTCGTGGACAGAGGTCTAGGAGCCAGGACCCAAGCCCAGACGGAGGGGCTCCCGAGCCCACACGCCTGCTGCCAGGCTTGACGGGTCCCTGGTTCTGCTCTGACTCCCCTCCGTCCTGAGAGGGGACCCAAGAGAGGGGCCAGAAGGCACCTCAGCGGCCTGATTTAGGCCCACCCCACAGGGACTGGCCAGGGCAGGCAGTTAGCTAGACATGAGCTGGGGGCAGGCGGTGGTCAGCAGTGATTTTGTGGGTTCCCACCCCCGGGGAGCTAGCGGCCCCGGAACAGCGGGTGCAGGGCCTGGGCTCTTTTCTCCCAGCCCACAGTGACCCACAGCTTCATTCTACTATATTTACACTGCGGTTTCAGCCTCCCCCAGGGGGGAAGCCAGCCCTGGCAGCCCTGGCAGGAACCCTGTAGGGCCAAAAACTCCACCTCCTGACCGGTGGGAGGAGTCCCTCAGAGGACTGGAAACGACCTCAGTTGGAGGCCACCCTGGCTAGGACCCATAACCTCTGCAAACGTAAAAATCGAAAGACCCCCCTTGCCCCAGTGCAGGTACCCCCTCTGGCCCTGCCGGCTCCCCCAGCCTGAGAGCGTACTGTCCTTGATGGACGGCTCTGTGCCTGCTACCTTCCTCCCGGCTGTCTTTATTCCTGAGCCGATCCTCCCGTCACTCTCTGCTGGGGGATCCAAGACCCGAGCCCTCCCACCACACCAGGCAGACTCCCTCCGCATTCTGGGGCCCCCAGTTTCTGTGGGGGTTGACATCCAAGGGGAGCACTCAGCGGTGTTGAGGACCTGCTGTGTGCAGCACTGCAGCACCCTCCCTACGGGGAGGTCCTGGGGAAGAGAAGGCCGGGCCATCCTTGAATTGTGGACCACCCGAGAGGGCATCCACGTCTGCACGTGGACGGGCGGGACTTGGCTCAGGGGCAGAGCCCAGCCAGCCAGGCAGCCTTAGGCACACCCCCAGCACTCTCCAAACCTGTGGGGCGCACACAGTAGTGTGTGGCCTGGGCGCTGGTGAAACTTAAAGAACTATGAAAGTGGCTAAAAACCCCCAAAGCGCAACCATATGCAAAGGGCCAGTGCACCGAGCTTTCCTAACTAATAGGGCACACGCACGCGCACACTGGGTGGATTATTAGATGAAACAGCAAAGAACAAAGTAGTGAGTGAGACCTGGGGAATGGCAATGTCCCCTGGGGAGGGCGGCCTTAAACGGGTACCGCAGGATGGACCTAGTAGGGGTGAGGCAAGAAGGCTTTTGGGGTGGCATGAGTCAAGGCAGCGGAAGTCCCAAATGACCAACCGGGTGAGGATTTGGATGCACAGCCCTTGGGTTCCTGCAAGAAGGATGGTGATGAAGACAGCCTGGGGCCTGTGGGGGCAAAGACCACACGCTGGGGTGACAGGAGGGCAGAAGCCTAAGGTGGCCCCAGCTCTGCCCAAAGAGATCACTCACAGGAAGAACAGATGCAATTCTAGGGTCCAGAGGACAAAAGCAGGGGCTGGGAGACTTAGGTGGCACGAATCCTGCTTTGACCCTTGACGAGCGGCGGTGGCAAGTGACCAACCCCGTGCCTCAGTGTACCCTTCTGTGAAACAGGGGTCAGAGGAGGGCTGCCTCCTCGGCTCCGGGAGGACTCTGCTGGTCAGAGCGCTGGGCCCAAGGCCCGGCTGCTCCATGTCCATCCCTGAACCCGCACACGAGCGCGCTTGGCACCCAGCGCCAAAGCTCCTCCGCCTGGGAAGCCCGCGCACTGCCCAGGCCATGCATGCCTTGTGGGCAGCGTCTCTTGAACTCTCGGCCCTTCCTGGTGTCCGGTCGGGTGTCTGGGGGGCTGACTGCGGGCAAGGGGTGCATCTGTGGGGAGAGCGAGTGCCAGGACAGTGACCACCGCGGGGCGGGGGGCACAGGGGGAGGCGCGGTGACTGCGGATGGGGGGTGATGACCACGAAGAGGGGGATGGAGACTGCAAAGAGGGGGCGCGTATGGGGACGGTGACCGCAGGGGAGGAAGGTGGAGACCTCGGCCAGGGCCGCG